CAAATACGAACAAGGGTTCAAGAACACCAAAAATTTTTGACTGAAGTCAAATTAACCCAGTTTGCATTAGCTTTGCATAAAGTAAATTGTAATGAGGACATTAAATGGAATAAAGTAATAACACTTAAAGTTGAGGATAAAAAATTTGAATGAAAAGAGATACAAAAACATCAATGTTCTCCAACGTACGGTGGTATGAATTTGGACAATGGACAATATTTAAAAACAAATTTTTGGACTTCAAAATTTAAAAATTTTTTTGTTGTTAACGGTCACAATTTTTGTAATCATATTATATTATATGCTGATGATGCCGGCGAAAATTTCAAATAAATTATTTAGTATTGAGAGAATTCGTATTATCTGATGTTTTAAATTAGTTTATATATATATATTTACTCTCGTACAAGATGTCAACATTTAAATCATATATATATATATATATACAGGGCCAGCGCAAGTAGGTGTCACGTGGAGGGGTGCCATTACAACTTTTGCCCACTAAAAACAAAAAAAAAAAAAAAAGGTCCTCGTTTTCCAAAATTTGCCAACTGCCATGACGACATTTGCCGACTGTCTAACCTATATCGATAGGGTCGACATTTGCCGACTAACTAGTCTAAAAGAGTCCAATTTACCGACTAAGGGTCCAGTTTGCCAACTAAAAATCATTTATGGGGGGGGGGGGGTATCACACACCCCCACACCCCTCTCTTGCAAGTGCCATTTGAGAATCCAAGACAAAACATCTAAAGCACTTCAATTTAACATTTGCGGATCTATCTTGATATTTGTTTGGAACACTGTCAAATGACGTCAAAGACGATTCACTTCAATTAACATTTCCAACGGGTTCAACTCATTGAAAGTTTTGCACATATGGTCAATCTGGCGTTTGATAAATTCATTATTTTCACCACTCAGCTACTACAGTTTTTAAGAAAGAAAGATTTTTTTCAAGTTTTTGCAACATAGTTGAGTAGTTCACAATTTCTGCTTGCAGTCTATCCACAGCTTTATACTGCTCTTGCCTAACTTCATCAACAAGACTTAAGCCAGCATTTCTGGTTTGTTCATCCGGCATTTTGTTGTGTCGGCAAACACTTTTTTCTTTTGCGATATTGTATATTTGGCATATCTTCAAAGCATAAATACTTGCCTCCTTTACAACTGTATCTCATTCTCTGGTTAGAAACATTGCTAACGTTTCCTTTTTTAGGGCACATTGATCTAACGGAAGTTCTTTTATTTGTAGAAACTTTTGTGCATCATTAATTTCAACTAAGAGAGTGCTCCAGAAAAAAAGAAAAGCTAAAAAGTCATCACACATAGTATAATATTTTCAATATCACCTTTTGTTTTAATAGTCTCATGATCACCATCACTGAGCTCTTCAAGAGAATCTTTTATATTATCTAGATGTGATCCATTAGCAGGGTCATGTCTGAAACTCCACCTGGTCTTACAAGAGCGTTTTTCATTTAATTGGTGCATGACTCTTCAAAACATCCCATCTATGAATTGAGGCTAAAAAGTAAGTGTAAATTTTTTCCACTGTGCCAAAGAAGTTATTGACTGTGTACCACTACTACCTACTGTATGCACACCCGCAAGAATCAGTGAATGGTTATTGTATAATATAAAATGAGCTTTGAAATTGATTGCCAATATTTGTTTTTGGACCCCACATATATGTCCAGTAATTGTAGCTGCATTGTCATAGCTTTGAACATAACAGTTTCCTATTTCTAGTATATTTGCTGCTAACTTATTGAAAATTTGAGTCGTAATAGCTTCTGCTTTTTTTCCATTTAACTCAATCAAATCAATAAAATACTCTAATCTCAATATATACATATATGATAACTTGAGACAACTGGTCAATGTGGGATATATCGTTTGTGCTATCAAAATAATACCGTATTACTTTGCCTTCCTAATGTCATCCATTTTTTTCTAAAGATGTTTAACACCATTTATTGATAATCTAAATTTCTTACCCAAGATTTTTTTCAAGAACTACTTGCTTAAGTTTTTGTCTTTGTTTAAAAAATCTCCAATAACTATAGCAAACAAACATTCAAAATCATTGTTTATCATAAAAACTTACTATTTTTATAAAATTGTGCAGGTTCGCTGGGTCGTTAAAACCAAAAAACAATAGAAACCGTTTTTCTAGTCTTCTGTATTCTTATGACTATGGATGCAGTTTCGTTCTATTGTTAAAAGCACTTTTTTTAAATCTTAGGTTTTTTTATTGTAGTTTAATGAACTATTATTTCTGTGTATTATATCAAATGTATTAATATTTATATTAAAAAATTGCTTATTTTTAATATGTAAATAGATTAAGTTGTCCTGAACCATCCTCTAAACATATGTCTGATACCACTCGATTATACCTCCTTTACAAATACTACTTTTAAAACCAGAGAATTAAAGTATTAAACGATTTTTTTTTTAAATAAATATTGTAAATAAAAATGTGGGTTTAATCAATTAAAAGTTTTTAGTTTGCATAAAAAATAGGTATAATTTTATGTGAATCAAATGTGATGATACATTGCTCTTCTGGTGGTGGGAAACAATAACTTGCACTCCCAGCCAATCGCTTTGGCAAATTATGATAGATATTTTTTATATACCATATTTTCACTCAAATAATATTTAAGTAGTATTTAAAAGCATATAGCTTTTTTAGTTTAGCCTGTACATCAAGTGCCCGGAGGTGCCCGCAGTCCGGGGCTGCCCGACTCTCCCCTACTTATGGATTAATGGGGGATAGGCGTTACAAAAGCGTATAAGAGAGTGTAAGTGTGTGCTTAAGGGTGAGGGCGGGGAGAGGGGGGAATGAGGTTTAAAACTTGGAAGTTCACATGTACGTACCAGGTGGAAGTGGACCCATAAATTAGTGATTTTACTGTGTACGTACTTTATGGGTTTCCGCTTACTTTGATTGTAGAGATTCGGTCGCAAACAATTATCAAATTTATTAAAAAGTAATTAAAAAATATATAAATATAGTAATAAAAAAAACCATTAAGTTTTAGTCAGTTTTTTTTTTTAACTTACTAGAATATAACATGATGTGTTATTTATTTTTGTTAAACCCGCGTAAAAAAAAAAAAAGGAAAATAAATTTGATCGATTCAGTCAAGTTGGTCCGAAAAGAAACATCTTACGCATGTGGCGTACTTCCTTATTGTTCCATCGAGACTAACGAGTCTCTAAACCCAATTAAAACACGTCTCACGATGTCAGAAACGACCGAGAAGAGATATCAGCCGGATACGTGATTCTAATTTCGAATTTTTTTATAATAAAAAAACAACAACGTATATTATTGATATTTAATCATAATAAAGGATTAAAGAGTATTATTAATAACAAAGCGTTGCTTTAAAACTGCTGGATAAGTTTTAGTCGAATAAATTTAAGAATAAATAATTGTGTTTATAACTATAAAAAATTATGAAAATTAGAAGTAAAGATAATAAAGAAATATTTTTTAAACTAAAGTTTCAATTTAAAACTCACAAAATAATTGTTGCCTTTAACTGTTTTGTGTTCAGTTTCAAGTTAATGTGAATATGTGTTCATATTAATGTGAATATGTGTTTAATTTAATGTGAAGATGTGTTTTGTTTTATGTTGTTGGGAGTATTGCTTTTAATTGCTTTTTGACTTTTGTTATATATACAATTTTAATAACTAATATAAAAGATTTCATTTCAAAGTCTTTATAGTTTTTTATTATTTATTATATCTTTAGCATAATATCATTTTAAAAATATCATAACTGCTATTAAGTAATAATATCAGCAAACTTTTTTTAGTTTTTTTTTTTTACTAATTAGCTTTAATTTTAATTAATTTTGATTGCTGGTCATTTTTATTATTAAGTATTGTTTTGTTAAATATAAACTTTTGTTTTAGTTTTACAAAACAAAATGGCAGATGAATATGAAGAGTATAACTATGATGACAAGTTTCATGCTGAATCTGGTTCACGAAAAGGCAAATCAAAAAAAGATGTGAGAAAAGAAGAGTCGATTGCTAAACCAAAACCTGGTGCTGAACGTAAAGTTGTTGAGACAATTGCTAATTCTGAACAGAAACGAAAAGAAGAACACAAAGAAAAGTAAAACAGATTGTTTTAATGCGCGAGATTGATATTTCAACATACAAGATGCAATTCAGAATTTTTAGTTATATTATTATATATAATGACTTTTCAGGTGTTGTATTTAAATTTTGCTTCAAAATAAATTTTTAAAAATATGAAATTAAAATTGTTTCATTTTTAAGCGTTTTTAATTCAATTATTTGTTTTAATATAAAACTGTTGAAATTATATTTAATAGTATACAGTTAATTATAGTATATTAAATATTAACAGTAAGTTTTAAAATGATATATAATTAATAGTATACAGGTGCAGTATGAGCTAAAATTAGTTGTATATGTTGTTGGATTGTTGCAAAAATGGTATTTATATAACTTTATAATTAAAATATTTTTGTATTGAATATTTAGTAGTAAAAGTTATTGGTTTACTAGTAGAAGATGAATAACATTTGACCATTGAGAACATTGGATCCTTTCAAATATTTTGATAATATTTCATAAAATGCCTAAAATCATCAAATGAAACCTTTGTAAATGATTTGTCTGTTTATAGGCCAGGTGAATAAAAAAAAAACAACTTTTGGAGTAGTTGCTCAGCTTTACATAAATAAAAATTAAAACAAAATTGCTAAAAAAAATTTTTCACGTAAAGCTGACCAATTACTTGAAAAACTAAAAGCAGTTGAGTTTTTTTAAATATCAATCCATATTTAAGAGAATTTATACTTATTTTTATAAAAATTTTATTAGTATAAAAGGTTATTTTGTTCTGTTTCGAAAAATATGTAGTCAATCTATTTTGCAATCACAAAATGCTTGAATTTTTTTCCTGATTGTTGTTTCATTTAATATTATTTTTTCAGAAATTTATGTGTTTATATTATGTTTTTTTATATTTTATATTAAAATTATTATTATGTTTGTTTATATTTTATATTAAAAAATTTATTTTGGCTTTTAATGTTTGTTTATATAATCACACATATTGTTAACACTTACAACCTACATAGCCAAGGAACAATCCACCAGTGGTAAAAATGAGACTTTTTGCAAACCCAGCCCCAGCCAACTTATAAGATTCAGAAGGGGGGGGGGGGTTCATAGCCGGGGCTAGAAAAAAATATTTTTTTAATACTTTTTGTATTATAATTTTATATTTACTTTTACTATTTATTACATACTGGCATATGTTTATATATTTTTAGACTCTAATTTACTTTCAACAAGGTTGCAATCAACCACTATTAAGTTACGAGTTACTTAAAGATAGACAGGTTAAAATACTAGAAAATGGTTAACTGACGATTTTAAAAGTTGCAGGATTTATTAAAAATGAGAACACGCAGATGAGGAAGAGTTAAAAGGTTTTTTTTGATGTGCAAGAACAAAAAACTGAATTAATAAAATATTTTATAGCATGAAGGGACAGATACAGTAAAAGGATGCAACTTGTTGTATAAGAAGCTAAGTAAGAATGAGTTTTGGTTTATCGTAATAGTGATGATAGCTTGTTTGAACAAGGCCATGATAGTATTTGTAGAAAAAAAGAAAGAAATGCAACTTTACACCAATGGGAGAGCGGTTCAAACTTGGCAGATTTAGCAGGTCTAACTACATTTGCAATGCTTTTAGACTGTCTGAGAGTAAGAGGGTTGTTATTTGTCAATATAGGAATGCCATCAATATTGCAATATTTTTTTGCAGTAAATAAGTTTTGTTGCTTAAAAAATGTAAATGTGCAAGCCACTGCAAGCCTTAGGCTGTTACAGAAGAGAGCTTTAAAACCTGCGTTTGTTCTAAGCAATTAAAGAGCAAAGGTTTTTTGTCCAGACAAGGACAAAAAACTAATAGGCACTTTGGATGTAAAATTTTCATGAAGGTTATTGTAGATAAGAAACATTACTGGAGCAAAGATAGAACTTTGTGGTACCCTTGTAGTTACTTGAAATAAAGTGGAGTGAAGGCCTTCAAGAATAACTTAAATTCTACAGTTTTGCAGAAATTCAGCAATTTTGCAGAATTCAGCGAATTTGCAGAAAAAAATAATTTATTAATCTCAAAAACTTTATATATAGAAACTAATAAATGAGTGAAGACTAATCATAGGATAGTTGGAGAGGTCAAAGTGTTTTCTAGAGTTTTTAAAAATTGAAACCACTCATTTAGCACTTTTTAAAAGTTAAGTAAAAATTAAAGAGAATTCTGGAGAACACTTTTTTAAGACTAATGGAAATCTTGTCTAGAGCACAAACTGTAGAAGCCATAGTGATTTTAATGTTTAATAATGGGTTAATTTGTTGAACCGGCAGGAAGAGTATGAATTCAAGAGTTTAATAAGAGTAAGATTTTTTTGCATAAAACTCTGCCTTATTCTGGGGAGAAGTAAAAAGTTAGACCCATTAATTAGATTAAATGTTAGACTTACTTTAGTTAATGACACTGTTGAAGAGTTATCTAAAGTCTCTAGATCCTAACATCTGAGATAAGAAACAAGATTTAGTAAACTTAGAATAAAAGAGATTAAGATCAGACAGGACTTTTTTACATTTGCTTCTTGGAATAATAAAAGGATATTTGTTTAATAAAGCAACTGCTCAAGATGGTAATAAATGCAGAGTAGGAGGCTTGACCTAATATTAAGGAGAAGGAATCAAAGCTTCCAAGCTTTTATACCAGAAGGAATAAAAACTTCCAAGATGCGCTTTATGCAAACATTTTATGGGTATAAACATATTGCTATTTATTTAGAAGATGGCAAGCAATATCCTTTCATATTTATGTAAACTTTAGTATTTACATCATTTAGTCTTTGCCAAAATAGAAGATGATCAGATGAATGTGTGTTGTGACTTTAACACAACAAGAAAAGGATGCATATTCTTAGACAGATTAGAAAAAAGTGTCTTATCTGACAACAGTTTTTAGAAAAGATTAAAGTACCAGCATGTAGAGAGGTAGAAGCTTCAGGAGAAAATGGTAGTGGTAGAAGTAAGAGAACTTGAAGAGAATGCCTTATATAGTATGAATGAGGTTTAGTTAAATAAAGAAAATGTTATAGATTGTTTATTAGAGAAACAATATAATAGAGGAAAGTAAAATGAGGTTTAGTTTAATAAATAAAATATTATAGATTGTTTAATTTTATATGTACCAATATATTATTGGCGTTGAGATATTTAAATCAAATACAGTCTTTGACCGGCTTTTATCAAATCTTGGAAAAAAAAAATACAGTGAAGACAGAAAAAACAGCATCTTTTTTTTTTTTTTTTTTTTTGTTGTTGCTAAAATACAGTTTTATAAATTGCATCTGATGTTAAATAGTTATCGCAAGTTATTTTTGAGGCCATTAAATATGCATGCAGGTATGGGGGTGTATGATGGTTACCCTAAAATGTATGAATGCAAAAAAGGAGGTGGGGGTGTTAAAGACAGCAAGATCGTACACAGATTGACTACCTCTCCTAAAACTTATGTAACAGAGAAATATCAAATTAACTTAAGTTTTTTTTTGTTTTTCATGTTTTGAAAAATTCATACATTTGGAAAAAGGAGGGGGGTTAATCTTTTAATAAATAATATATACATTTGCAGAGGAGAGATCATTTAAAGAATACAGGTGCATACAAAGGGGGCAGGGAGGGTCCTTAATCAGTGATTTTACTGCGTATGTACTTTATAAAGACCCCTTAACATATTTTGTTGGGGGGGGGAAATGTATTTGAACAACAAAAGATATAAAATATATAACTTTTATTAAAATATGTTACTGTGTTACTAATAACAATATAGTCAAAAGTACCCCTCTGTGGATAAAACTAACCCAGCAGTGGAGTACAATTGACCACTCAGAGGGCTAATATTAAAATATTTGTAGAGTTGATAATGATAGAGCCCATTACTTTCTATGCTAGCAAAGTTTTCTTGTTTCTTGTGATACATCTAAAAATAGTTAAAAGCACACTAGGTAAAGAAATTTTTTCCGTCTTCCCCTACAGCAATTTTAATGAGAGTTGTTGGATGACTTGGTTCTTCAATATAGAGGGCAAAACAACTCCATTTATTAATATATCCATAATTGTATCTTATCCATTTCTGAATATTTAATTTCTGTATGATTATTAAAAGCATTTATTATAGTTGTTTTTAAGTCAAAAAATATTTTTAATTTTATTTGAAACTCTGAAAATTAATAAACAAGGTTGCTGCACAGAAAAATAGGTTAAGCATGATACGCTTTTAGATAATAGTTATCAATATAAAACATATACAGATTTTTGTTTTATAAAAATCAATATAGTTTATATTGATGATTAAAATAGCTGCTTATTAAATTTCATTATAAAGTTAAGTTATTTAGGGGGTGGTGTTTGTGTGCCCTAAAATTGTGAATCCCCACACATCCTAAAAATGTTCTTTTTTATTTAAATAAATCTGGTGTTAATATTAACTTAATGTTAATGTTGATATCATTAATGCAGCAAAAAAAAAAAAGCAATACATTGCTCTTCTATACTTATAAGATTTTAGATAACTTAATGTAAATGAGCGCCAAAAAATTATTCTTTGCTAACTTACCAGACCTGGAATCATTAAAAGGTTTTAAAGCGACACATAATGTAACAAACACAACTGGAATGCAGCCTACTTGTTGCAGGTATGTTTTATTTTCAACAGTTTTTCTAAATTGTTTATTAGAAAACTTTTTTCTATTCTGTCCATTTTAGAGAGCTTTTGTTTACAATGCCAGATGTACTTGTTTCACCTGCTTTTGATAATAAAAAAGACTTGTTTATTATTGCCCAGGTTAGAACCATATAGTGATTACTACTGTTTTGTTTATATTAGTTTTATTTGTATGTACTTTTATTGGTTGTATATATTTATCTATTCTAAATTAAATTATTTTTTTATTATGTTGTATTTTGATTGCTTATATATAGTTTGATTTACATGAATTGTTCAGTTTTCAATAAATACCTTTTACATATGAAAATGCAGTGTTAAACCTATAATAATTAAGATTTTTACTGTGTTTCCTTCGTATAAGCTGGCCATCTGGCAACCGTTTGTTGCCAGATAGCCAGCGGGTTAATAAATATTGGTATTGCAGCGGGTTAATAAATATGATTAGAGAAAACTTTTAATACTATTTTTTAATTTTTGACTATGAAACTTCTCAGCAAATACAATTAGGTGATCTACATTGTATTTTTTTTTTTTTTGTTTCAATCTGATAACAAGTTTTTTTTATTGTCAAAATGAGTTGACTGTTTTTATTTTATAGTATTTAAGTCTCTTTATGAGGGTTTCAACCACTACCATTATTATTCATTACTATTTTTACCATTACCAATACTTTTATTTATTTGCAAATATTTTTTAAGTTAAAAAAAAAAAAAAAATATTTTATTTTTTTAGTTATAAGACTGTTATAATTTATTACATACATAAATTATTTTTTAATCTATTCACAACTTTTATCAATTTATAACAAATTAACTTTAATTTTTTAAAAACTTTCTTAAAATTAACTAATTCTAATGATTTACAAATGAATTTTCATTTAGAATTTTATTTTTGCAGAATTCAATTATAATAAATAAATTATAAAGAATTTTTAAATGATTTTGAATAACAATTATTATATAAATTCACCTTAAAAAGTTTTTCATACTACTCATTAATTATTACCAATTAAAATTTTTAATTTTGTATTAAAATAATAATGTTTTGTTGTCCTATTGGTTTTTTTCGAATCCGCTTTAGTGTGCAAAAAAACAAACAAAAAACAAATCCAGATTTAGTGGGTAAATTAGAATTTAAAGAGCAACAGAATTTTGATGATCTCTATCGATCCTTCTTAAAGTCATTATTTTTAAGATAAATTATTGTTTCTTTTGTGTATTTGGCAAACCATTTATGATAAAATTAAAAATTATGTATTCAAAGTTGGTTAAACACTTGCAGCAGTATTATTATAAATAAGTTTATTAAAAAAATAAATTTGACATGGTTGTAGCCTTTTGAGTGTGAGGTTTTTAGTTTAAAAACAGAACCAAAAAAATAAGAACTCACCAAATAAGTACTCTTGGGGAGCCATATTACTTTGTCTAACATAACCCAATGGTGATTTGATTGGTGCATCATTAGTCTGTTTTAATTTTAATTTCTTTTTAAATTTACATTAAGATCTTGGTTTTTATTAGAAATCTTAAGCACAAGCCATACTCACTATTCATGCAATGTATTTACCAGCTTGAAAATTTCTAGTACTGAGTTAATATAACTAATACCAATAAGGTTTTTTGTACTAAATTAACGTTATACTTCTTATGAGTATCATAGACGAATATCAACAGAAATTCTCCTTTTAAACTTTCATATATTACAAAACAATTTTTTGTCCCTAGGATTGTACCCATCCCTATGTATTGCCTCTGTGTACCTATTTATTCATAATATATGTCATGTAATTTAAAACATCAAAGTTGTAAATAAGAAATTGTAAGTGATTGAGAACATAATAGTTTTAATTAGGAAAAGTTTATAATGTAGATTTTCAAAACAAAGTTCTTTGTATTTTTATTTTTGTGGCCTTAATTTCCCTTGTTATTTAAGGTTGGATCCTATTTGGCCAAGGCGCCCATATGGGTTGGTGTTTAATAAATAATAATACACTATCAATAAAATAAAAAAAGTCATGAAAAAAGCATTTGCAGTTTTGACGGTAACTGGAAAAATCCTATCAGTTAGAATTATGTGTCAGTTAGAAAAATTTTTTTTTTGTTTGAATTTACATTAAAAAATCCTCTGTGATTTTCTATCATGACAACATTTGTTGTTGGTATAGATGCAATTAAATGTATGTTTGCTTTTGAAACAGGTATTTTCATTATTGCTCTTCTTCCTTATGTTTTTCTACAAAAATGGGTAAAAATTTTTTCATCCAACCAAATTATCTAATGACCATTTGTGATAAGTTCACTGATGTTCCTAACTTATTCAGCTCTTATTTGTTTATTTTCATTACTGTTCATTGCAGAAGGCTCTTTGTACACTTTTAATTTAATGAAAACAATTTTCCTTTCATGGTGATTGGCGATTGTTGTTGTGGTTATGCTAATATTAAATTGTCTTTTGATGGTCATCAATATCAATCAGGGTTGTATGGTTTTAACCAAATGGTTTAAACCATGGTTTAAGCCAATTTAAAAAATATTGGTTTAAACCAAACTCATGTTTTTTTTTAAAGATTTGAGCTTACTACAGGTAACTAAGACAGGGTTATGTTCACAATTATAACTAATCTTCAATATATATATTTTTTTAAATCCATGATTTTTATTTTTTTTTAAATTTATCAATATGCTTTATCCAGGATACACTCTACCTAATAAAACTTAAATTGGAGAAGAAATATTAGATAGGGTTTGCACAGAAGAAATTAAAAAAATGTAATGTATTGAATGGGAAAATTGCAGCCATGTCTTTAGATGGCTGGAGTAATTTACATAATGAACCTATAGTTTGTATCTCTGTAATTACAGATAAAATTAACATTTTAGTAGAAATAATCAACACTTCTGGTCATTCAGGTGCTGGTGAATATCTTACACAATTAGCAAGAGAAGCAATAGATTTTGTGAGATGTAAATTCGGATGCACAGTAAAAAGCTTAGTGACTGACAATGCAGCTAATATTAAATTAATGATACAAGTATTATCATCTGAAAGAGATATTATCATAACTTATGGGTGTGCTGCTCATATGCTGAATCTTTTAGCAAATGATCTGAACATTGAAAATGTGAGCAAGCATGTTACACAAATAATAAAATATATAAGAAATAATCATCAAGCTTAATTTATAAATTAAGCCGAGGAACAAAATTGCCACTTCCTAATGAAACCCGCTGGAATTCTGTATGTGACTCACTTGAAAAATGTCAACAACTGGAGCATTATTTTCACAATGTTTGAAAAAAATAAAGACTTGGATCCTAGATTGGTATAATAATAAAAAGTAAGTGATATACAGATAAAGCGAAACACAGAAGATTTATTGAAGATATTGAAACCAAATGCAGTAGCTCTAGATAAGTTGCAAAGAGATCAAACAAAAATAAGTGACACTTGAAATTTTTAAAGATTTGATGAACAGTTATTCATTTTTATCAAACGAAAAAAAAAAAAAAATCGAATCTAAATACCTTCAGACTGTCAGTGATGCTCATTTCCTGGTAAACACACTAGATCCTAGATATTTTGGATATAATCTTTCTGATTAAATCTGATTAGAAAATAAAGCTGCCATGAATTTTGCAGATAATAAGTTCAAGAATTTGTTACCAATATTATTAAAAGCCAAATCTACTATAACATAATGAATATTGAAGGTTTATTAAATGCACCAGCTTCTTGTGCTGGAATTGAAAGAATTTTTTCAACTTTTGGTCTTGTTCATTCTAAGTTAAGAAACCAATTGGGGGTAGAAAAAGCAGCAAAGCTTGTATTTATATATAGAACATTAAACAATGATATATTAAATAATTTTGATGAAATATAACAATAATATTGATAAAGAATATAGTTTATATAAATAAAATTTGTTATGCTTTTTTAAATTTAAAAGGATAACTAAATACCACATTTTTTAGTAAAAACCTAATTTAAACCAAAAAAAACATGGTTTTTTTGGATCATTTAAAAAAACCTATGGTTTTTGGTTTTTTTCAAAAAAAAAACTGTTTTTTTGCAACCCTGATATCAATTGACAGTTACTTTCAATCCATGTTAGCATTTTTTCGGTTTGATCCTCAGTCAGCTTTTTTGCTTTAAAACCACCCCTTCTTATAAAATTTAAATTTCGCCTGCAAACCCAGTTGTAAGTTGTCTTATTATTTATTTGTTTTTTGTTTTTAATTTTTGTTTTAGGTAAACCAAACACGATCCCCACCACGTCCCTGGTAGTACCGCGTCCCTGGTAGATCCCCACCACGTCCCTGGTAGTACCGCGCTCAACTTGTTTCTCGGCGCAGCGGCCTTGTTCGTCAAGGTTTGTGTTTCGGAGTTATAGAGTTGAGAGAGGGTTATAACCACAAATAAGTAGCCTCCTCGTCTGTAGTGGCCTTCTCGGCCTTGAGGAGGTGAATTAAAATAAAAAAAAAAAAAAAAAAGGTGCCCCAAGAAAACCTTGTGGTCACCACAGAAGACCTTACAGACAGAATTGTTAGCACTTTGCTTTGGCCTTGCTATAAGGACAAAAATTAAGGCCTTTTGCCTTGGTCTTCGTGTTGAAACTGTAGGCCTTGGCCTTGAAAATTTTGACTTTGGCCTTCAAAAAATATACATAAAGTTATAGAATTAAAAGTTTTCACTCTTTATTTTTATGTATTTTTTTTTTTCCAGCTTTCATATATACCTACAAGTATATTTTCTTATTGATTTTTGTCAATAAGAAAATATACTTGTAGGTATGAATTCTGCACATAATCTTGGTCTATTTTTGCAAAATGTGGTTTTATTGTCACAGCACTTGCTACCTACAGTTTTGTTCATAATTGGCGTTAACATGGCATTAACAGGCAAAAATTCGAGTCTTTAGTCTTGAAAATAGTCTTTTTGTAGGCCTTGGTCTTGAAACTTTTATTCTTGGCCTTGACCTTATAACTTTTGGCATTGGTCGTGTCTTTTGCCTTGTAACTTTTGACTTTGGTCTTGGCCTTGGCCTTGTAAAATGTGGCCTTGGCCTTGCTACTTTTGGCTTTGTTAACAACTCTGCTTACTGATACCTCAAATAAGCATTTTACTAGGAAGTTCATGCCTCCTTCCTTACTAATGATGAAAAATATGCCCTGAGCTTGTTTGAGCACTCTAACTACTAATGTTGACATAAATTCAATTTAATTACATACTTTCTGTTTGTAGTGTAAAGATAAATAATACAACGATCTTTCAATTCCATTATTATTGTTGGTGCATACATATGTCTAGTTTGACATAGTTAACTTATTCAAATTTATGTTCCAGAAGACCTTTTATAATGACCTATAAGCTACATTGTGAGTTTGTAATTACAAATTATGTATTCTCTCTTACATATTATGATTTCTTAATTACAATTGATGTTTTCTTAATTACATGTTGTGATTTGTTATTTGCATGTTGTATATCTCAATTACAATTTACGATTTCTTAATTACATGTTGTGTTTTTTAATTACATATTATGATATATAAATTACATGTTGTGTTTCTCAATAACACAATTTAATTAATTGCAATTTCTTAATTAAATCTTGAAAAAGTGTATTTTTACAATTTACATTCAAAATCAGTCAAGACAACTGCAAAAATAGTTAACGTAGGGGTTACGTTGGGTGGGGTGAAAATTACTTTTTTGGAGCTTTTTTCCTGTTACACTCCTAGATAATATGTATAATAAAATAACACTGGATTTTATAAAATTTCCAACAAAATTCTAAAAGTTTCAAAAATATTATTCATATTTTATAAAAACTTGTCAAAAAAAAAAAAAATTAAAATTAAAAAATAGAACCATAAAAAACTTTTTTTTTAATGAATACACAATGGAATGTTTTATTGCAATAATTTAAATAAATAATTTTTAAATAAAATTATTACTATTTTTGAAATTTTTTTTTGAAATTTTGCCAATCACTAGGTACTGGAACCAAGTTGATATACTTTTTAAGTTTTTTTTATGATGATGATGATATTAAAAGGATCCATTAAGTATTAAAGGGATGGTTGGGACTCCTAAAAATATTTTTTGTTCAAAATGGGTGTAACAGGAGAAATTATCATAAAAAGTGATCTTGACCCCAACTTACTACTTATTCTTAAATCTTAAACCTGCAAAATGCAATCTACGCTATTAGGTACCCCAAAGTGGTTATCCAAAAAATTTTTATTCAATTTATAATAACAATATTTTCTTACAAGAAACATATCTATCTTGGAGTTACCTAGATAGTTATCTCGATTTCAGCTTAAATTTTGATAACATTTAAAAAGGAAAAAAGTGTTTACTTAATGAACAAGTTTAATCATTCTTTGACAGCAGTTTATTCAACTTCAAAATTTAAATGAAACTCTTTTTATGTTTGTTTAGGCATCATTGGCTTCATCACAGAAGTTCTTGAATCAACTCAATAAGCTCCAAATAAAAGTATACATTAATTTTGAATTTTTAAAATAATTTTAAATTAGTTGAGTCAATTTTTAATTTAATAATTTGCTTAACTACAAAAAAAAAAAGAAAAAGAAAAAGGTGATGAGTGAACAATTTATATTTCATTTATTTTCTTGCTCATCAATTTGAAACTTATCCTAAATCTCCGTAGTTAGTTTTTGTTAAAAATTTTTCTTTTTTATGTCAAAGATATTTTATTTTTTTCATAGATATTTTGTTTCTCTGGTGTCATTTTTTAAAATTTAAGTTTCAATAATTAGTTTCTATGAATAGTTTTCCATATTGTATTATTAAAAATATGTTTTAAAAATTTTGCTTGAGACAGAAATATCATCATTTTTTAAAAATTGAATTCCCAAGGCTACAAGTGAGTTGGACACCAGTTTCTTTTACCACAGTTGAAGAGTCTAGTTTACCCCATAATTTAATTTTTTAAACATATTTTAGTTGATTAAGTTAGTTTTTTGTTGGTATCAAATTTGTCAATAAACTTGATAACTGAGTTTTTATGTAAATTTGCATCATTATATTGAAATAGCTCGTGTAAAATTTGTTTTAAGATATTTTTTAGCTTGGTTTTTCCAAAATTATAATGAGACTTGAATTTGTTTGAGTTGTCTAAAAATTTCACATCGAAATGACATGTTATCAAAGATGTAGAGTCCCCAAAAGGGATACAAATTTAAAAGTCACAAAAAGATTACTCCTTCCTAGTTTTTGGTATCCAGGAGCTCTAAAATTATAAAAAAAGCTTATGAACTACTAATGGAAAAAAATGAAGGTTTTTAGGTTAGGGATCATCCATAAAGTACGTACGCTCATAGAGGAAGAGGGGGATAGTAGGTCAATTCTAAAAGTATGGAGACACTAAATTTAAAAAAATATCATAAAATGTTGGCTAGGTAGGTTAAAAGCGTAGGTACTTTTAGGGAGGTAGAGGGTGCTCAAAAAAGTGTCTGGCAAAATGCAGAGGGGTGAGGGTTGCCAAAAAAAAGCGTAAGTTCGTACTATCAATTTTTGAACCCAGAGTCCTTAAATATAATGGTGGCAGGGACTCTGGGCTTAAAAACAATAAGTTCATTAAATCTCATTAATTTATTGTAGATCATAAGTCAACCAACATGTTTAGAGCCTCTAGATAGCACTGAACAGAAAAAAATAGATATAAAGCCAGACTCTTTTTGTGACTCCTTATCCCTGAATGTTATATATTGGCTTTGCCTTAGAAATTTATAGAAACAAGGAAAAAAAAACTCATGAAAATATTTAGTTTGATTATATTTATATTTTAGCTTTGCAGTAGATTAGATGTAGATGCAGAATTTTTCCAGTATTGCTTGACATATAGTATATATCAAAAGTTAGCTCCATTTTGGAACAAAACTGGCTCTTTTCTTGCACAAGGTATCTAAGTAGTTATATAAGGACAATGTTAAAAAAGTTTTTGATAAGTTATCTTTAGTTGTGATGTATTATATTTGTATGCAGTGATATAGAAAATTTCATTGAAATAATTTTTAAAAATGATGATAATATTTTAGTAAGGGAAGTCTAACATAAAAAATTTTCAGTAAATTTTCGTCTTTGAAATTATTGAATTCTTCCTTATCAATCGTAGTATTAAAGTTGTCCTTTCAGTGTCAATTCAGGGGCTCCTCAAGGTTTTATCCTTGGCCCTATACTCTTTAATTTATATTAATGATCTTCCAGATATTATCATACCTAAGGTGGCATTGTTCGCTGATGATACTACCATTTGTTCTTGTTTTTATAAGAAGCCAACACTCTTTGATTGCTTGGAGGAGGCATTTGAGCTTGAAAAAGATCTCATTTCTGCTACATCATGGGTCTTACAGTGGCTGGTGAACTTTAACTCAAAGAAAACTCAATTTTTTTCAGCTAATTGTTATCGCAATAATCTAGATCTTCCTATATTTATGAACAGTAATGTACTCAATGAGTCATCTACCCTTCATCTTCTAGGATTAACTCTTACTTCCAATTTTTCTTGGAAACCATATATCAAATCGATTGCAAAATTAGTATCTGTTAAGGTTGCATCTTTTTATTTTGCTTGCCACTTTTTTACTCCAGATTCTATTCTTTATCTCTTTCAATCTCAAATTCGTCCTTATATGGAATACTGTTGTAGTGTCTTACGTTGATCTTCTAATAAAGCTCTTTCTCTCATAGACAAAGTGCAAAAACACATTGTAAACATAGTTAGATCTGCTCTTGCAGCCAACCTTCAACCATTATCTCATCATTGTAACGTTGCTTCTCTTTCTTGTTTCTACAAATACTATAATGGGCACTGCTCTAAAGAGCTAGCATCTCTTGTTATATCTACTAAAATTCATTCTCGTTTCACTCTCGAGTCCTTAATAAAGGGGGGGGGGGGCATTTATTAAATTTTGGAAAATTTTCCCACCCATTTGAAGCTTATTCTGCCCCCCCCCCCCCCCCTTATTTATTTTAACATTTTAACTTGTTATCAACAAAAACTTTATATCTCAAAGCTAAAAAAAAAAATAACAGTGAAAATTTGCCTTAATAATTAGAAAAAATTCTATCAGTCACTGATAAAAACAAAAACTTTCAGTGTAAACAGGCTTTAAAAATCGCTGACCTAGTAAATCTTGATTTCTCGAAAATGAGCTTTTGGTTTATTTCTCACCAAAGTATAAAACTTATATCAGCATTTTAAATCCTATTAAAGTTATGATAAAACTGCTGTTAAAAAATGCGCATTTGACTGCAAGCCACGCTAGAACTGTATAGTTTTATGCGTTAAAGAAATAAGTCAGGTTAATCTATATAAACAATTTTTAGTATCATATGATGTAACCAGCTTATATACTAATGTTCCGCTTCAAGAAACCATTGATATCGCAGTTAATTCAATTATGCTTAATAATAAAAATTTTAAAATTACTAAAAACAAGTTTAAAAAAACTATTTAATTTTGCTACCTCGCAAACACATTTTCTTTTTAAAGGACATACTTATGATCAAATAGATGGTGTAGCCATGGGCTCTCCACTAGCACCTGTTCTTGCCAATTTGTTTATGGGCCATTTTGAAAATGACAGGATTAAAAATTGCAATGGTGTTAAACCAGTTTTCTATAAACGATATGTTAATGACATTTTTGCTGCTTTTAGTCAGAAAATGAAGCACGTATTTTCCTTAATTATATAAATTGTAGACACAATTCTATTTCTTACACCATGGAACAAGAAGTGAATTTGAAAATATCCTTCTTGGATGTAACTTTACACAAAATAAATTCTACAGTAACTACTACAGTTTTTCATAAAAAAACCTACTCTGGCTTACACACCAATTTTTATAGTTTCACTCCGCCTTCGTACAGAGTCAGTCTTATCAAATGCTTAATCAATAGACCATTTAAAATCAATAGTACTAATCTAGGGTTTAACTCCGACATAAACAACCTTTTCAAAGTATTTCAAAGAAACATGTATCTATCTTGGCTAATATCGAAAATATATAAATCTTATTTAAACAAAATTGACACAAACAATCCATCACAACCAAAAATCAAAGAGCTTCGTCTTACTTTAAACTACTGTTTTTAGGACAAGTATCGGATTTAACTAAAAAAAGATTGAATTTAATTGTTAAAAGATATTGCTGTTCTGTAAATTTTAAACTAGTTTTTGACTCACTAAAAGTTTCAAATTTTTTTTTCTCTAAAGATCCTATTCCTCTAGAGTTCAAACCGTTCGTGGTCTACAAATTCGTATGCGCAGGATGTAACTCCTGTTATATAGGCAAAACTACTTGCCATCTCAAGACACGAATAACTGAACATTATAAGAGAGACAAAAAAATCACATATTTAAAACATCTCCATAGTAACAAAAATTGTTTTATGCAATTAAATGAAAAGTGTTTTTTCGTTTTAGATTCAGCATCTAATAAGTTCGAATTAAAACTTAAAGAAAGCATGTTCATAGAATGGTTAAAACCTGGTTTGAACAAACAAGTCAACCATGTCCAAATGACACTTTCTGTTTAGTTATTATTTTCTATGTAAAATTTTTATTAACCTATTTTTCATCACTTCTTATTCGTTCTTTTAGCATGTCTTGTTATTCTTATAGATTTTGTCGTATTTTTGTAATTAAATTAATAGTTTGTACATAGATAATTACATTTTGTATTGTTATTGTAAAAATCACCTATATAGGTATTTAAACAAATTTAAAAAATAAAAAATTTAAATTCAACTGAAAATGACTAGTGATAGTCGAAACATGTATTGGTTAAAATTAATGGTTTTATTAATTAAAAAATTTGTCTTGTTTCTTAAAATATTTACATTTTTTGTGCTTAAAAGAAATTTTGGTTTTTAAAGATTTATTATTTTTTTATTTACAGGGCGAAGTTTTTTACAAGAATGTGAAAAGTTTTCAGCAATAAGTAATTTTGCATTTATGCTTTACATTCCAAATAAATTATCATTTAAATTATTGTTATTAATTTTTAAACTGTTTAAATGGCAATTAGTTTTTAGTTTCATTTTTCTAATTTGTATATTTATGATAATTGAGATTATTGTTTATAATATTCTTATTAAAATTAAGAATTGACTGGAGATTATGTAAATGATTACCCTTGAATTGAGGTCGAATTGAAGCATTCAGCAATGTTGACCTTACTGTAAAACTAAAAGAGACAGGTGTTTTTTTTTATTGTTGACCTTGTTTCTATGTTGTTATGGTTAAACCTTTGTGTTAAAAGTTTTGTGGCGACCTGATGCTGACTAAAAATAGTTTAATTTCTTACCAACCCTAAAAAAATTATATTTTTGTATTTCCTAATTTTAAGGGCTGAAATGATTTAGTTCATTATACACTATTGCAAAATTTAATGAGTTTTTTTAATTAATATTCAAGTAAACAAAGTAAAAGAAAAAAACAACTTTTTTAATTTTGTTATCATGACTATTATTTTGTGATTATTGTTTACTTAGTAAAGTAGTTTATTGTACTCACAAATTACTAGTGTAAAATTATGATTTTATTTACAGTTTTTTCAAACATTTAACAAAGTTATAGAATTACAAGTCAACTTGTTACAACTTGTTACAAGTCAACTTGTAAGTCAAATAGTATAAAACAGACATTAGGCACAGAGAAAAAGTTTTTATTACTTTAAAAGTTTTTATTACAGAGAAAAAGTTTTTATTACTCACTCAGATTTTTAGATAAGCATAAAAAAATGTGAAGTTTTATACTATCTTGTTAATAGAATCTTTTATTTTTGAAAGTCCAATATTTTTTTCTTCTAATGTTGTTTGTAATTATCAGTCCAAATGAGGGTTATCTTTTTGTTGAGAATTCTTCTCTAATCTAAAATATCATTTTGTTGAGAATATTTCTCCAACCTGGATAATCTTTTTGTTGAAAATGTATCTTTTTGTTACAAGTATATATTTTTTTAATACAATTAATATGATAATTGCTTTTTTGATTTTGTTTTTTTTTTCTATTATTTTATTTTTATTTTTTTCATTACTTTCATTAATTTATTTTGTGATTAAAAATTACAGGATTGGAGTTGACTGTGACGGATAAAATTTGTTTAACATTGGAACCATTTCTTGTGAAAATGCAGCCTCCAATGGTTTGCTTGTTTAGTTGATTTTTAGAAAATATTTCAGGGCTTGAATTAACGCAAAAAAATTTTATCGCAAAAAAAATTTCTTTTAGTAATTCTTTTTACTTAACATGATACTTAAAAAAGTAAAAGTAAAAAACTAAGAGTAAAAACGCAAATATTACAAAATTTTAACCATTTTAATTAGTCATAAAAAACAAGCGCCTCTATCCATTTTTATATGCGTGTTTATTCATTCTTACATGCGTATTATTCATTCTTATATGTGCGTTTATATGCAAGTCAACTTCCCATAAAATCTCTAATATAATTTTATATAAACAATAAATAGGCTTTTATGTTTTTATATAGATATATACAAAATATAAATTAGGTTGTTGCCACTTCTATTTATTCAAATGGTTGCAGAGCCAGCGCTGAATTTATTTAATTACGCATTTGGTTGTAAAATGGAATTAAATTAAACTCTGTAGTTTCCATAATATTTTTAAGTTTTCTGATTACCCCATCCATATTTCGAGACTTTTCTCCCTGTTTGTAAGTATTTCTTTAAAGAAAAAAAAATCTTTTATTGGATTAAGCTGTAGCATGTATGGCAGGTACTTAACAGCTATGCTGTTATTAGAGGCTAGTGTTTGCCTAACATATATTAGAGGCTAGTGTTTGCCTAACAGAACGACTCCAGTGGAATTTACAATTGTCCATAACAATCACCAGAGCTTCCACATCTGTGTTCCTAATTGCTGGGGCCAATTCTGTAGTAATGAAAGTACAAAATGAATTTGCATTCCAGCCTTCAGTTTTTATTTCATAAGCCAGCACTCACATTGTTGAAACAGCCCAAATCAAATTAACATTCTTGCCACAATTTGCAGATGACTATAAAATTGCTGGCAAATGAATAAACGCGCATACAAAAATAAATAACCCTGTAAAACATTGATGTCATAAAACTTTAAATTTTATATTTGCACTAAAACATGTTTATAGACCATACAAGTTTATAATCTATAGACCAAATGAGTAAGATCAAAGCAAAAAAATATTAGATACCACGTTTTTGATAATTGATTGTTTCTTGATCTAGCATACTAGTAAAAGTTTAAGTATAATTAAGTTTTTTATTTAAATGGTTTTTAAGTTGATGTTTACATTCAATTTTTTCATTAAAATTGTTTTGCAATGAAAAGTGAAACAAAAAGTTAAATAAATCGTTAAATAAATCGATTTCCTTAAGTTATGCTTTAATTTTTGTTTAAAAAAAAAATTTCTTTAAACAGAAGTAAAATAATTTATTAATTTTAATTTTTTTTAATTTAGTTTTTATCTTACCTTTTGCAATCACTGGTTTAATGTTTGCAATAGGTTTTTTTAACTTTTAAATCTATTTTAAAACAAAACAAAATATAATTAACTGGAAACAAAATATATTTAAATATTCAAAACGTTTACAATTTAAATAAAACTTTCTTCCTCACTTGCACTATGTTCAAAATCTTTTATTGTTACTGTAAATAGATATACGTTAAATTTTCAGCATTAATTCTGGTTAAGCTGGGTATTATGGATGCCGCTGAATTAAATTTATAATTATTGAGCATTAAAATTCTTTTAAACTTTTTAAATTTTTTTCAATTTCAGTTTTCCATCACAAAATTATTTGAATAAGAGAATTTTAGAAAACTAAAATTCTTTTGTTCGAATAAATTTCTTTTTAAATAAAATTCCTAAAAACAACTTGCATATTTATAGAAAATGTTTGATCTGGATATATCAATAAAATTCTTGAAATCTACAGTGTACACTACTAAAAGTAAACAAAACAATTTTAATATTCAAAACTAATTTTAAAATGATTCTTAGAATCTAAATATTACTACTCTCTGAACAAATAGCACAGTCAAATTTCTATTTATTGAGTATAACAAAATTCAGAATATATGTTGATGTTCCACCTTCACAGTATAAAGGTTAAAAGAGTAACTGTCTGGAAGGTATTTGTTTAAAGCACATGAACCACATCAAGGTTCTTTTATATTCATGTGTAAGATTTTTTATGCAGAATGATTGAAAGCATATGACAGAAAAATACACTATCAATTAGCAAACTGCTTTTTCCTGCACATTTTTATTCCTGGATTACATATAAAATATAATATATTATGGCAAGATGCAGTAGTTTATCAAGACTTTTTGGGGCACAGGGCTGTTTTTTTCCAAGGTTAATCAATAAATTTATTTCAGAGTTTCTTTTAAAAATATTTTTCTATGAACCAAAGCCTTCAAAACTCTGGGGCTTAGGGCTATCGCACTGGCAATGTAACTCCATAAGGAAATATGCAAATGTTTTTAAAACTGAGCACAATCCACATTTTTAAAACTGAGCTCAATCCTCATTTTTAGATAAATAACAGATTTAGATAATGCGATTTTCAAAATGTTGTTAAAGAATTTTTTTACCTACCATTGCTAATTATACCATTAAATTTTGGATGTTGGAATACAACATCGCATAAAAAAAATAATTTTTGAGGTAATTGAAAATTACAGTTGAGGTAAGAACCCTTAAAACACCAATTACAATTGAGGTAAGAACCCGTAAAACACCAACCAACAAATACTTTTAAACAATAGTTAATGATACTAAACTATAGAGGCAGTTACAAGATTTGATCTAAAATAAATTCAAATAATACAAACAAAACATTTACAAACGACTTTTACAATCCTTTAGCATTTTTTTTTTTATATAAATAAAGATAGCTTGCAGCTGCAAGTTACCTGCGCAGATAACGCATTATGGATAACTGAACCAATAAAAAACACAACTCTTAGACAGTGCTTAAAACTTCTAAATTTTGGCACTAACCATCAATTGTATAATTTAAATTAAATAAGGCTGGTTAATAAGAAATATATAAAAATGACAATTATTGCTAGGCATCAAGCTTTAGGCAACATCAATCAGTTGTATTTTATCTGGAAAAACTGTTGCTTACATATTTTATCTGGAAAAACTGTTGCTTATAATTGACATCATGCAAAATCTATATTTATATAGATTTTGCTATATATATATATATATATATATATATATATATATATATATATATATATATATATATATATATATATATATATATATATATATATATATATATATATATATATATATATATATATATTTATTAATATATATATATATATATATATATATATATATATATATATATATATATATATATATATATATATATATATATATGTATATATATTTATTAATATATAAAACTAATTGTATTTATTTTTATTAATATATAATATTATATTTTGATAATATATAAAAAAATATATCTATATAAAATATATATATGTTTGCATATACAAACATAACAGCAGCATTATAACTAAACTATGCTAACAGTTTGTAATTTACTAAGCCAAGCATATGTTTTTATAATGTAACAAAAAGAGAAATCATATTATTGTTTACTTTTTGCAAATTCATAAAACTGCAGATAAAGCAACAAATTTTCATCACTGAAGATAATTTGCTGCTTTACTGCATAATAGTATAAAGTAAATAAAGCATTATAAACAGTTAAGAGCTTTCTTAATGGGTACAAGTTTATCCAATTTCGAGCATTTGATGTTTGTTTCTGAACAGAAATTTTGCTTAAGATGAATGCAGAATTTACTTCGTAAGATAACTTCTTGCAAATTTCATTTAATAAAACTACATTGTTTTGCTCTAAAGCCACTCGTACATTATAACAAATGTGAGACATTATAAATAAGGCTCTTGAATAACTTTACAATGTTAATTGCAAAATCTTTAGGCAATTTATCATCTTGTTTATCTATTTTTTTTCAAATTGCCCAATTAATTTCTTGCTTTTTATCTAGATCCAGATCAGATTAGGCGGATTGACAACTTTGTTCCATACTACTTTAGGCAAAATTTAACTTTCGTTAGTTAAAGTGATTAAAGATACACACCTCATACCAAGATTAAGTTAGGCAAAACTTATTTTACCTAATGCATGAAAAAGCATGTCTAATCATTGTTTGTAACACTTCTGTGCTTATCGTAGTTAAATTACTCTTTAGCAATGCCGAAACCGTGAATAATAAAAAATGCCTGATGGAATTTTAAAATGTAAAGTAATATAGATCTTAATAGTTATATAATATTTCTCCTTAGGCGGCTGCCTTATGTGCCAAACCCTAGATCTGCCCCTGGAACATATATTATATATATAAATAGAAACATTTATATTATAAATATATAGAAACATATATAAATTATTTAATAGTTAAGAAATTGTAAGTTACTGCAGTAACTTAACTGGTTGCTTTGATTTAGTTTAAAAGTAAATTTACTGCGATGTACTCTATCCATCAAGTAAATCAAATTAATTATAACTTTAATAATATGGGCTTCTGCGCAGAGATTTAAAGTAATTTAAATTCAAAAGCTCTTTATGTTGAATAAAATCTTTGCGCAAGAGAGCAAAGATTATACTTTTATTCAAAAGATAAATTTAGCCTGACGTACATTATGACCCCTAATAAAGATTTTAGACAAAAACATTACTTTTAAAAATGCTGAATGAGAAAAGAAAAAAAAAATTACAAAAAAAACAAACTAATCGCGAAAATATTTTTTTAAGAAAAAACTTATCTTAAAAGTGTTAAAAGCAATCGTGATTCACGATCGCAGTATGCTTAATTCGAGCCCTGTATTTACCAAGCAAAATATTTTAATAATTTAATTTTTCATAAGTTAGAAGACTTTATGATTGATTCCCAAGCAGAATACAATTTTAAGAGAATGAAAGGTTTTACAATCATGTCAAGTTCAATACAAGATCTTAGTTGTTATGTTTTACCAAGGTATTATAAATTCTTTTATAAAAATAGTGATATTTCTATGTAAAACTTTAGGATTAGAATTTAAATTATTTTTATCTACTTATAAGAAAGTAGTTTTTTTTATTAAATTTTTTTTTCTAGTTTAAAAGAAGGAAAGGTGCACTCAATAACTCATGAAATTCCTTTGAATGCCCCATTTAAGTCATATGATGAAATGAAACAACATTGGAAAGTAATGGTAATTTCTTTACTGTAATTTCTGAATCAAATAGTGATATTGAAGAATATCATAACATTTGAATATAATGATATTGAAGAATATTATAACATTTGAATATAATAGATTTTTATCTAATAAAATATGAATTTAGTATCCTGTGTTTATTTGTTTTGTTTTTTAGTATGGTTATCGTCTTCCATCAGGTAGTTGCAATATGTATTTTAATGTCAAGTTTTTTGGTAGTACTATATTCACTTATCCTGAGTGGTGCATAAGAAAAATTGAACCAATAGTATATTTTAGATGTGACTTTGATGCTATATGTAAGCAATTTTTACAAGATCTTTTTACAAGAATGCCATCTATGTGTGGAGGGTCATTGCGTTTTACTAAAGAAAGTTTTCAATGGCAAAAATCTTTACTTTCCGCGAAAAAAGGTTCAAACTCATTTTTAATAAAATCTGTTACTCAACTTTCAAAATCTACACCTCAGGTTCAAAAAGCTTTGAACCCAGCAAGTAGTAAAAAAACAAACTCCACTAATATACAAAGGTGCAAAGGATTTCAGTACATAAAGTATCCAGAAAATACCCAAAATAACTCAATTTATGTTAATCCAATTCAAAACAAAACAATTTGTGTTTCTACTGAAAGGCATTTGCCACACAAAGGACAGCAAAATCTATTTTTAAATCATAGTCTAGACAATTCTAAAACTGTTTTTGATTCAGAGTTAAAAATTTCAAAAAACGTTATTGATATACCTGATTCTCCTTTTGTAGTTACTTCCCCGTGTTTCATGGAAAAGTTAGCAGATAGTAACTGCAATGAAAAGCTCAATCTATCTGATAAATCTTTCAATAATAACTTGTTTACAAGTCAAGATATATGTGTAGTTCCTGATGTTAACTATGATTTGTGTATAGTTCCAGATGTTGAAACAGAATTCACAGACTTTAAAACAGAGATTTCAGATATTGAAACAGATATTCCAAGTATTGAAGTTTCTGTAAAATCAGTTTACAATGAGTCTGTTATTACTGATTTTACAAACAAAAAGGAAAGTTCTCAACCTCATAATTCAAGTATCGTTGCAAAAAAACAACACATTTCCCATATAAGCCAAAGAAGTAAAACAAAAAATAGTAATCTTCTTTATAAACAAAATGACGATAGTGTTGTTCCACTAAATAATGATGATGGTTATGTTGTTCCACCTCTTAAAGATAATAGTTCTATTGTTCCACCTATTAAAGATAATAGTTGTGCTGTTCCACTCAATAAAAAAGATGGTTGTGTTGTTCCACCTGATAAAGATGATGATGGTGTTGTTCCACTCAATAAAGATAATGGTTGTGTTGTTTCACTTAATACAAATGAATTCATAAGTACTGATAAAAATGGTAATGTTTTTGTTTTATACTTTTACTTAAATTTTTAACACTAAAATTTGTTCAAGATTTTGCAATTTTTTTAGAAATATATTTATTTTAATGTAGTTTTGGTTTCAAAGAATAATTCAAGAATTATTCCTTCGTTTATGCACAAAAAGAAAATAATCAGTCAATGTGAAATGTCTATTCATAGAGAAGTATCAAATATATCAAATATATGTTCATCAAAATTAAAACCATCTTTTCTGCCTAAAAACATGCGGCAAGTTTTTAATAAAGCCGAGACAAGCTCTGCTCAGACAAGAACAAAAAGATCATTTCCTTTGCAGTTAGATAATCCAAGTGAAAATGTTAAAAAATTTAATCTAATTAACAGTTTTGATGTACCTGTTACTTTCTGTAGAATTCCAGCAGAGTTATCTCCTAAAAATACAAACATTTTAAAAATACAATCAAAAAGACATTCTGCTGATAGTCTAGCATTATGTGATTCAGTTCCTAAGGTACCTAAATTTTCTTCTGGTATTAAAAAAAGTCAAAAATCAGTGGAAATTCAAAAACCACAGCATCCTAAAATTAAACATAAACAGAAAAAGGACAACCTAATAAATTATTCAAAACAAAATCTTACAATTGAATGTGTAAATGTTTCACAAACATTGGAAAGTTTATCTTCCCCATTAAACTTATGTGCTACAGTAACATCTTTGGTAATTTATTTTGCATTATATTAAATGAATTTAAATCATTTGGTTAAATATAAGGGTGTCCAAATAAATTTTTTTTTTTAGCATGGTAAATTGTTTATTGAAAAAAACAACATTTAATAATAATGATTATTATCATGACAATAGTAATAATAATAAAAGTATTAAAAATATTAGTTAGTACTAAAAATAGTTGTTATAAATTTAACAAAATAAAAAACATAGTTAATAAAAAAAATAACAAATAAAAGTTATATGAAAAAAAAAAAAAAAAATACATTACAGACAATTAAGATGATATTCTGAAAAAAAAGTAATTAACAACTAGAAAATATTTTCATCTTATTAAGTTATTTATATTTATCACAAATAAATTATATAACGTTATATTTTCACTAACCTATATATATTTATAAAATTTTAAATAGATAAGTTTAAATTCTAAATTTTTTTTTTGTTGTTGTTGTTTTGTTGCATTTTTATGTTACTTTAAGTTTTTTTTATTTTACCTTTCTTTAATTTAATAATACTTTTTATTAATTTTTTAAATTTCAAATAAAAAAACTATTAGTTATATTTTAATATCTGTTCAGGTCGCTGATACAAATGTAAAAAAGCAAAGGCCTAAACCAAAAGTACAAGACATAGATGTTGAAAGTATGGCAAAAAATAAAATGGTAATTGTTGATATTTTTGAGTTTTCATTTACCCCATACAGAGGAGGAATAACATTTTAAAATAATTTTTTAACATTTTTGGCTCTAAAATAATGTTTAGCTTGTAAACGTTATAAAAGATAATCTAATTTGATTTACTTTTATAAATTTTGTACAAAAATAATTAAAAATATTACAAAAAACTTTTATTTTAATATTACAAAAAAGAATTAATGAACAGCCTAAACATAATGAACAAAATAATGAGTTATTTTGTTAAGTACTAAACATTTTATACAGACACATCTAAATTTTTTATGCATTCATTATAAGTTATAAAGTTGATATTTTTTTCATTGATATTTCAATGTTATCATCGTTTTGCATACGTAACTTCCCTACGGGCATTTGTTTTTAAAAGTTACGTTCTAAATGTATTTTAATAAGATCAAATTTAAAATGACAAACGCAACGATAACTTAAACGGCACTACTGTCATTTTGCCCTTGAGATTTTTCCATTGACAAAATATTTTTAAATTTGTTATTCTAATAAAATTTGATAAGTTTAATAAAGTTTTACCAGCTAATAAAGAACTTAACGCTTCTTTTTACACCACTTTTTTTACTTAGATGCGACCCAGCCGGCAAATAACGTTGAAATAACGTTGAACTATCATTGAAACCTAACGTTGAATTTACATTGATTTAACTTTTAGAATAAAAGTTTTTTTCAAAGTTGATTTATCAACGTTAAATCGTTAGATTCAAACGTTATATCAACGTTGACTCGACGCAAAAAAACGTTACAATAACGTTGAATTTACGTTGATTTAACGTTTAGAATGAAAACTTTTTTCAACGTTGATTTATCAACGTTAAATCAACATTAGGTTCAAACGTTATATCAACGTTGATTCGATGCGAACAAACGTTACAATAACGTTGAATTTACGTTGATACAATGATTAAAATGATAGTTTTTTTAACGTCGATTTATCAACGTTAAAACGACTGTTATAACACTTTTTCACCATCGAAACGTGCTATGTTTGTCAAAATGTATGTATGTATGAATGTATGTATGTATGTATGTATGTATGTATGTATGTATGTATGTATGTATGTATGTATGTATGTATGTATGTATGTAAA